AAACTATAATAATCTCTTTAGCAACTTTGTTGCGAGAGTATAAAAATAATTCTATGAATAATAGTACAAGATATGTACCACAGCAATGCGTGGCTGGATCCACTAGTATATATACATATATGTATATCTCTTATTGTTTGAGATGTTGATCTCAAATTTCGAACACAAAAAGACGCTTATTTGTCGGAACTTTATAAATTTGTATGGGAATCTTTTTCATTTAACGAGTTTTTTTCAGGAAACTTTGCATGGATTATTGCCTAAGACAGTAGGGAAATCTTCAATGAAATTGTTCAGATCAGTACATCATTGCTGTCATACAAACTTATCGATCAAAATCGGTTTTTGCAAGGAATTGTTTGTATTTGTAAGGGGTATTATAGCTTCGAACCAATATAAGTTACCGCTTTTCCTGTTTTATTCTCACATGCTTACACTATTTTTGTCTTTTTATCCAGAAACACAAAGAATGGCTGAACCAACGAAAACAACAGAAGAGCAATCGGTTAGCGTTGCTCGTGAATCATCCGAAATCTAACTACCAAATGGCAAATTTATGGCGTTATCCGAAACCAGGGCTTGAAACGAGCGCAAATGAGGTTTATCCAGAGAACGAAGCTGTGGCAACAGACTTACAACAGCAATCACCTACTACAACAACGCCAACTACTTCAACGCTATTGATCACAACAACAAAGGAGCTAGAGACAACATCAGCTGGAACTACAATCGGCAGCACCGAGGTTCAAACAGTATTAGCCGCCACGCCCACCACGGCGGCAGCCATTACCACAACCACAACCGCAACAACTACAATGCAGCAACCGACAACAGAGTCTATTAATGTTTTAAATGATTTTAAAGCAATAACAGCAAACAGCGCTCAAGTCCCCGCGGTTACTACGTCAATCGCGCGAGGGGCAAGTGTACCCGAAGCGCCTATTATTAGCGATAATGTTGTGACTGAGACGCCTAAAATTGTAGTTAGTATAAAAACCACCACGGTAAGGGCAACCACAACGACAAGCACTGAATCACCACAGAGCACAGCGGTTGGAAATGTGTCCGATTTGACGACAAACGAAAGCTCAGCAGTGACAAGCACGAAGCGACCGAGCGCTGGTCCACGTCAACGTCCCTACCCGCGCTGGGGCACTTGGGGCAAGTGGAGTGATTGCTCACGTAGTTGCGGTGGCGGTGTACGCTTTCAGCAGAGGAAATGTATCAATCGGTGAGTGTCGGTGTAGAACTAAGACTAAATAAGAGTCAGGGTTTCAGCACAAGACTAAGAATTATGAATAAGTGTGGTACATTTTTAAGACCTTGATTTAGCTACTGTATTTGTTTTTTTAGAACTTTTGAGTAAGACTGATGATATACCATCTGATCAAATTTGACCCGGATGGACAAAAAAAAATTTTTTTTTTTTTCGTCTTTTAATACAAATTTTATTATTGTCTTCAAAACAAGCTCACAAGCTAATAAAATATTCCAAATACTTGCTATAAGTCTTGGATGGGATAGTCTGCTTGTAGCGAATTATGGTTTCGTCGGTTTCACCGTCATTTTCATTTGATTAATTTAAGGTCTTCTACTGCCCTGTCAAGCATTTCTTTCGAAACTATTAGTCTAATCCAGCAACGCTTCATACTCACAACATTAACCAAAATGTCTTGAGTCAATCCATAAGAGAGGTTGATATGTTTTGGTATTTTTCTCATGCTAACACAACGACTTTGAAACTCTTTTTTTACTTTTCGTAGCTATCGTCATTAAAACAGACAAGTTTTTGGTGACTTTGCAACTTTCACTGAATGCTTTGTGCTGTTCATTTATAAGTGTTTGCGATAAATTAGACCTGGTGGATCGGCGGTCTTCCTCTTCCTCTGCTTCCCCCGTCAGGTAGGGCGTCGAATACTCTCAGAGCTTCCGATCCTGACGGAACTTTTGATGTTGCTCCACGTCAGCTTATATTGAGGTATTAGCTTTACGAGGACACCAAGTTCAGACTTAGCGGCATAGAGACAGTTTCTTACCGGTTTTAGACTAAGTATCCTCTGGGTAGCCAAAAACATCCGGTAGCATGCGAAATAAAGTGAGAAGGTGAAACATTTTACCCCAGGTTTGTGCGCTGCGGCTGAAACTCGACACGTAAAAAAAATCCCTGACTAAAAAGACCCAAACAGCCTTGGATTATTATTCCATTAGAAACACAAAATTTCAAAGCAAACTCGCTGTAAATTGTTTCCTAACGCAAAAATAGCCAGATAAACCTTTAGTGTCGCAAGCAAACAGATGCTGAGTACACATTAATTGATATACATACATATGTACACTTCAAGCTTTAGACGAACATAAAGAAGGTTACTAATCTGGGAAATAATGATATCGATTCTGTTTTGAGAGCGCAGTTTAGATCCACCAGGACCAGTCCGGGTTAAATTTGATCACATATGTACAAGTACTGTCAATTCGGCAATAATTGTTCGGGGAAACTTTGCTTTCACCTAGTACCATAACGGGTTAGGAGAACAAGCTAGACACTTTTAGATTTTTGCGTATTCTCTGCAAAATTTGTTTATATATGTATGTATAAGTAATTAGAAAATATTTATTGTAATTTTGCATACCCGTAAGATAAATCATATCATCTTGTTTTCTAATTTTAATGTTGAATGATTAATGTACATACACCCATATACATAAATATATGCAAACCGACTTATTAATGACATTGCCTACCCAACCGCAGTAAGTGCTAATAAACATACACTTGTGTGCAAATACATATACTTATATATTTGTTATTTATTTTTCCGATGAAAACCTTCAATTGGTCATTTGTGTTTATTTATTTTATTTAATCGCTTTTTAAACGCGGCTTTTGTGGTCGAAGTGCTTTTGCTTGAGCAAGAAGCGAAATAGGTGATCTCCCGCCCGGTTTTCTTAATTGGCACAATTTAAAAATCAGAATATACCACATATTCATATGTATAGTATGTCTGTAGCTTTAGAACAAACATGATTGTGCACAAGCGAGATCTATAAATTTGTTATGCAAATCTAAAGAATTATTATTCACCACACATTATTGGTTTTGTTGTCTCGTCATCATTACTGTTGATGACGCGCGTATTCTTTGTTGTGCTCCTAACTTCACCACTAACAACATCACCAGCGCAAGCCCAAAAAGCTGTTACTATTCATTACCAAAACCATAAAGAAAATAAAATCAAAACAGCAAACAGATGACTGACCGCGAAAGCCGCGAACCAAAACAGCTCGGTAAGCGCGTGTACACTGTTGTTGCTGTTGCTACCAGTTTCATAGTTTCATAGAAGAAGGCGTCCAATTGGCGCCAATGTCCAGCTACACTTTCATATATAGCTCGTAAATCTGCTAGAGCCGAACAATATGGGTCTTTGTAGCGAAATCGCTTATTGGCTTTCTTCTGATTGCCGAAACATTTGTTTTTACAGGATTTCTAGAGAAAAAAGTTCCGAACTAAACGATGTACGCTTTGTGTGCGCGCAGAAGTGGAAAAAATTGAATTATAAATGCTAATCGATTGGTCAACATTCATACGAAATTATGTGTTAATTTATCTGCGAAGAGTGCTAGAGCCGGTGAGTTGATGCGAGTATACCTGGCTGTCATGCCAGCACATATGTACATATGGCTGTGTGTCTGTATATAAAAAAAAGAAACATAGATATGAGAAGCGTAAAAGTACACTTGAAAGTTTAAGTGACTCCAGTTAGACCGCTCAGCTGACTAGACTAGATTTTTTGTTGCTAAAAATTTATTCACAGAAAATTGAGCAAAAATAAAGTATTCGATTCCTCAATACTGCAGTGGTGACTCAGTCATTGCACTAATTGAATATATTATCCATTTAATTGAATTAATTAACTACAATCATGTTTATTGTATTGCAATTACGCGCATACTTTTCCTGGTACAGACAATACCCCTTGCGAAGCCTCACCTGAATTACTATACACGCCGAAGTCGTAGTCTTCCTTATTATAAGTCATTAATTGCCATAACCTAATTAAAATTGTTACCGATTTGTCTAGAGATGATGACACAAATACTCATTAATCGGACTCTCTCAGTCATGCTGAAAGATTTTAGGGCCGTAATATTTATAGTTTTGTAACACGGATTGGCTGTACTTTGGGTATTTTCTTTTTTTAGGTTACAATGGGTGTTTTATTGTGTGATCTGTCACTTCTAATTTCTTCAAGTATCGAAATAGGATACAATATATTTATAAAGATTAAAGAGTAAATATGTTTTTCTTTGTAAAGGGTGATCCATTTCGAGATTGCCAACTTTTTTGAAAAAAAAAAAAAAAAATTTAAATTTAAAGAAGAATGTTCATTATCTGTCGAAAGTACATTCTATCCAAATTATTTTTTGAAGATTATTCTTTTGAAATATTGGGCGCGGCTACGTCTCAGATGGTCCATCCGCTGAATGCAATTTTCGATTACTAGTTCGAGCATTGCGAGTGGTAACTGGCGAGTGACATGCGTGATGTTTTCTTCCATCTTGGTTGCCAATCTCTCCATAAATCATTGATTGATGCGTTGTGTGGAAAATGCTCGTAACCCCGTCATGTTGAAATCAAATGTCACCGAGATCACGAGCTTCAACTTCAGTCGTCAAATAGTCGTTCATTATGTCGCGAAAGCGATCGCCATTGACGGTTACTTTCTCAGCGGCATCATTTTAAAAGAAATATTGACCTATAATCCCACTAACCACATCAAAACGTTTTTTTCTGGATGAACTGACAGCTCTTGAATCTCTTTAGGTTTCTCTTCGTTCCAAACGCGGTAATTTTGCTTGTTTATATACCAATTGAGCAAGAAATGGGTATCTTTGCTGAACAAAATTTGGCTCGGATTTGCTCATACACCGAAGCGATGTCGGTTGCGATGGGCTTCAGTTTTTGCACAAGCTGTATTTTGTACGCTTTCCGTTTAAGTTCTTGACGTAAAATCCGACAAGTCGTTTTATACCGAGGACGATTATGTTGATCATAAGTTAAGCTAAGCCCGCGAAACGCATTCTTTACAGAACGGGAATTTTCGTTCAGTGATAAAAAACAATACTGAATAATGTGACAGCTTGACACAACTCATGGGTGATCTGTCAAAAAAGCCTTTTGAAAATATACCTCTTCTTGCATCATCCATTGTTCGATTAGACAAAAATTCTGAACTAGGTGAGAAGAGCTAAGGAATCATGTGAAGTTGTTACGAACTTCGAAAAGAAAAAAATGGTTAGTTACAAGTGAAGTCTACCGCGAATCTTGTCAAAACTAAAGAGAGCTTGAGAAGAAGAGAGTTTCAGCTGTAGTTAGTAGAATCCAGAATAAACAAAACTATCGATTTTATACCGTGTAGTTTCAGCTTTTTCCGGGGGTTTTACAATTCGGGCTTTTTATAGCAAAACAAATTTAAATGCGCTTACATATGTATGTATGTACTAGAAAAAACGATGTTCATCACAATAATAATATTCACAAAACTTCAGAAGTTATAGTGCCATGAATATGTAAATGAGCAGCAAAAGAAAAAAATAAACAAGCGGTGCAAAATAAAATGGAGAACAAACAAACCGCAAAAATTAAGTAAGAGCGTTTTAGAGCCGTGCCGATCTCGAAAATACACAGTTTGGCAGAATAAACAGTTTGTTTTCTTACTTCTACGATTTCTCAGTAGCGACACAATATATGAGTACAAAGATACAAAAATAAAGTTTATAGCCGCCGGCACCGCGACGTTGTAGGTATAAATAGAGGCGGCGGCTGCGCAATCGATTGTGAGTCTCAATTGAGCTGGTCAAGCGTGTGGACGTACTTAATAATAATAAACTAAAATGTCGAAATTCTTCCTTGCTGCACTACTCTGCGTCGCTGTGTGCGCACAGGTAAGTAAAGCTGCTGGACATTGCAAAGTGGATTTAAGCAATCAATTAACGGCGTATATTTGGTACTTTTCTCGTTTTCCAATAGTTGTCTTTCGCTGCCAGCATTGTCGAAGCGATCGATGCTGATCTGCGTGTAAACCTCGACGGATACAACAAGATCCTCGCCGGAGTCGATGAGGCACACAAGGCCAATCTCGAAAAATTGATCGCCCAGACCGAGGCTGCGCTCAAGGAGACCGACAGCAAAGCGAAGACCACCATTTTGGATGGTCTGACTGGCACTTTCCCCGAAGAATTCAATCAGTATTTGCACAAGAAATTGCAGGAATTGAATGTTGATGGTGAAATCCAGAACTCCCTCGACTTCTATAAGGCTTTGTTGCCAAAATCCGATTCCGCTGAATTCAAGGCTGATATTGAGAAATCCATCGTAAACTTGAACGCTATCGCCAAGGAAGCTGATGCCGCTAAAAAGGTGGAAAGCTACTTGAAATTCACCCAGGATCATCGTGCCGGTTTCCAAGAATTCTTGAAGAAGCAAACTTTGCCAGAAATCGAAAAATCATTGAACGCTGCCATCAAATTCTTTGACGATTTGCTCGCTGACGCCGATATCAAGCACAAGGATGAAATTGCCGCTTTGAAGGTTAAGGCTGAAGGTGGTTTGGCTGCCGCCACCTTGGAAGACAAGCAAAAGATTTACTTCGAAGTTACCAACTCCGAAAACAAGGACGTCTTCAACTACTTGAGAGAAAAATACATTGAAAAGCAATAGATGTCTCATCTCGTCTATTGAGTATTCTATGAACTAATTGTATGTAATCGTAAATTTAATTTATTACAAAATGAAAGAAGAATGTGTGCCGTAAAATGGACCTGTCTATTGGCGTACGTGTGAAAATAAAAATTGGAAAAGCATATTGCTAAATGAAATAATTGTTGTTCTGTTTTTTATTGTTTGTTTGCTTCTAGTTTTAATGCAGTCATACAAACGCTTTCGTCTTACGAATTAACTGCTAATTGCGAGACGCTTAGACAAGTCTTTATGCTTATTAGACAAGCTTTGCTACTGATCAGACAATTTTTATCCATTTATCTTTTATTGATTTTTCCTTTCTAGAATATTAACTTGTTTATTTCCTTAAGTTTGCATGGTTTGAGTGATTCTTAGGAGGCTTGTATATATAAGGTTATTTGTCTCAATCTGAATTTTAATTATGCAAAATAGTACACAATTCGATAAAACTGTTTTAATTTTGTTTATTTCTTTTGCTATAGTTATTTGTTAGTCGATTATAAATTCTGGAAGATTTACGAAATTTCTCCTCATACACTATTCATTGATTTTATTTATTTAAATTAGCTGTAGCATAATTCCTCGTAACTCATGCAGTTAATATGAACAACAAGATTGTTTAAATAGCCAGTAATAGCAGATTTTTATTGATCCTGAGAGATGGTACCAGCCACCAAAAAATTATTCAGTGACAACTCACAACTTTATCGTAATCTCGAATTTCTTTCCATTAATTCTTCTTATGAGAATACATTCTACGCGACCAGTTTAGAGAGCTCCAGTAGCCTATCTTCAAACGCTTCATCCACAAAACTACAATTTTCAAATTGCTTGTATAATTACACGCCGACAAATGCTCAAGATATTCGTTTAGAGCTTATCTACCAGCATTTGATCTGATCTAAAAACTAGTTTTGGCAAGCTAAAACCACCAAACAATTTTAAATAAATTCAGCTTTTATTAACAATTTGTCAATTTTTGCATATTATTGGACCGTTTGGTGTGTAAACTGATATTGAGCAATAGCAAAAGTTCCGTCAGGATCAGGAAGTACTTCTCCAAGCCGTTCGAAACCAAACGACGTTTCAGGCAAGACGACTCTCTATCGTGCGATTTTTCAATCTACTGCTGGAGAAAAGAATTCTAGTTGCATAACTAAATAGAGAATGTACCATCTTCCATAAGAGTGAGCAGCTGCTGGTGATATCCGTGTTGTTAGTTCTGTTTTCTCCTGAGAAGGAAGCGAAGCAAATGGGTCTAGTAGTGAACGAGGACAAGACGAAATATCTCTTGTCATCAAACTAAAAGAGACAGCGGCTACGTTGGCTAGGTCATGTCGTCCGAATGAACGAAAACACTTCAGCTCTGAAAGTATTCTGTGCAGTACTCGCCTATGAAGCACAGGAAGAGAAAGACCTCCACTCCGTTAGAAAGACCAAGTGAAGTGAATGGAGGAAGTGAAGTAACGATTGGCGCACTGTTTTCAACCCGACTATAACCGCGTAAGCGGAAGAAGAAGTATTACAATCTAGGAACTCACAACTTTATCGTAAGCTTTGCCATTTTTGATGTTACACTTACTCTGAACATTTTGACATACGAGCGCTATTTGCGCTGTTTACAGTAACTTGAAATATTCATCTCCTCTAAAAATAAAATTAAGTCTCAAACATTCTTACGCGATTATTTTTTACAACTTTCGACTTGAATTAACACAGCAACAGCGCATTGATGAACTTAATTAACTGTGTGGCGATGAAGCTCCTTCTAAGTCCAGTACCTATTGACGATTTGGTGCATCGAATCGAAGTCGGAGATCACCCCAAGACAAATTTTTTAAAAGTTGCTCAAAGTCAGTTATTGTTCTTTTGATGCTTTGCACAAACTGATATCATATGACCTATAGTAAGATTGAGACAATTGTAGGATGCTAGCATGCATTGATAATTGCATGAACATTTAATTGGGGAACAATTTTTTTCATTCACCATATACTCCTGACGCGGCACCGAATGACTTCTTTTTATTCCCGTGCGTAAAGGTAAATGTTAATGTTTTCCGATATCTGAAAATGCTGCTAATGTGTACATTATGCATGTTTTGGACTCATCTCAATTAGAGTGGCAAAAAATTCTCAAATCACGAATTAGATCAAAGGCGTACAAAAGTATATAAAAGTAGATCTTAATGGATTAAATATAGAAAAGCATTTTTCGATGATTAATATTTTTATGTTCTCTAATCCAGAAATATAAAAAGCAACCCTCGTACACTGATTTGTGTTGATCATTAATTGATGCTTGAATATTTTGGTATTTAGAATAGTACTATTATACCTGTAGTAATTAAATCAAAACTTAAGAGATGAGCATTATACTTTGCATCCAAATCTTTGTTGAAGTCAACCAATTACTGTAATTTTCTTGCTTTCGGTAGTGTTTGCCACACAAGATGAAAGTGACAGCTTTTTCTCGCTGCACAATTTTCCATGTAGGCAATATAAGCTATGTTATAATTTCATGACTGTTTTGCGGCACTTAAATAAAAACACAAATAAATATTCGCAAACAAGTTGTAAGTGATCGAACCACTTACAGAGTTTCTGACTGTTTATCTAATGAAAGAAATTATATTAGGATACAGTTGGATGATTTCTGATTAAGCAATTGGTTATGTCATAACATGAATCTTAAAAGCGCCTTTATTTGTGAGAGCGTGCTCAGACTGTTGCGTGTTTTTGATTGCATAGTTTACTACAAATCGAATAATTAGTATAATTCGAAAATAGGCTGTATTTATAAAACTTGCAAGTGTAAGGCGGAAGGTCTCATGCACTGTGCGGAAATTATATTAAGACCGAAAACCTGGAAAGTGAATTACTATTATTTTATATTGAGGAATGTACTGTTATATTCCAAATGATTTTAAAAACATTTTTCATTTATTTTAATTAAACTTGCATTTATTTTAAATTTTCCCTCATTTCGATTTGTAGTAAGTCTCTTTAATCTCATTCAAGCAATGAATTGCATTAAGTGGTTTTATACTTGCCTTTGCAGCTTCTGAATTCAGGGAGCAGACAGAACTGAGTCACAGCAATTGCTTAGTAGGTCGCAGAGACGATTACCTCAATTTAATTGCTATTCCTTTAGATTTATATAGGGTGGTTCAAAATGTTGATTTTTAATTATAAATAGAAATATATGCAAAAATTTGGAAAATCTTATGAAAGCGTTGGTTCTTGTAATACATGCCTCATGTAGATCTTAAATCTATCGTTCAATATATTCGATTATTGCGAGTTAGCGATAGTAACTAAAGAGAGTTGACCACCTCGAGTGGAATTTTCATATTCTTAGAGGTTTTGTTGGGAGCGTTCAATAAATTGATGTTTGTACTGTGACCCAAGAGTTTTCCACTCTTTCACACCGATTTATATGCAATGCGCTCCCTAATCTGATACATAGATTAGCAGCTTCCTCTAAAGTACTGCTAATATCTTCTTTTGAGAAATCTCTCCTCTTTGCGGCTCCTTTATGGTGTGGGGATCCACCGCGAGACGGGGCTTCGGCGCCACCTGTCTATAAGCTGCAACAGAGCGAGTAAGTTCTACAGCCAGTGTATTCCTAGCTACCTCTTTAAGTGCTGGCAGCCAGTTAAGGCGAAGTCGATTCCAAACTGACTGTCGGAAGGGTAAGCAGGGATGAAAATCGTAAAAGATGCCGTTATTTCCGCTACATCACCAATCTTAAATTCAGTTTGGCTTCTTGTATTGGGATAATTATAATTATGAGTGATATTTGAAACATCGATTTCACATTTTTCGTCTTTGGAACAACCTTTTCGTGCATTAATTCGGTTCGCCAAAGCTGTCTTACCTACACAAAATATGCATTTAGTACATTGCTCTTACAATTGTCATTGAAAATTCCGACAAGTGAATTGAAACAAAAAAATGATTAATGTAGACCTCTGTCTGCGAATGAGAAGAACAAAGTTTGCGAATAATTGGATTTGCATGCTGAAAGTCAGTAATAACTTAGCTACCGACCTAGACCTAAGCGTTTGCTGATTTTCTTACGAAAGCTACGATTTTGAAATAAGTTTTTACCGTGTAACTTTCAATAAAATTGGGTTGCATGCACGTCAAACGCACTTTAAGACGCTTGAGTGCCTCGACAGCAACAGTAAGCCATAAGCTTCGCAAATAGAAAGTTAAGTGAACACAATGCTTTGGCAAAAGTTGCTCCTGATCAATCTTCAAATAATCCTCGCACTGCAGGTATGAAGCAACTGAAACTTCTATGAAATAAGATTGAGAAAAAAGTGTATTCCTACCAATTAGTGCATCGCCGGCAATCCGGTTGAAGTGGACGTAGATGAACTGAAGGCGCAAATCAGCAGTCACCTGAGCTACACAGCACGTCGGTTGACACGTATTCAGCAGGATGTCGACGAGAAGTATGCCACTGAATTGGAGCAACTGTTGGCGCGTTATTTAAAAGCCGCCAATGCCGAAGATCCGCTGGTCGAGGAGAAGCAGCTACTGGAGTACGAAGGGGAGCAAAGGCAGTCGTTTATGTCTTATGTAAATCTGCAGTACGACGAGCAATTTCTCAACGAGGATATACGCGTACAAGAGTGGAGCATGCGCACGCTGATGGCGGAGGTGAGCGGTCCATTGGCTGAGGAAATTGAGAAGGTCTTGCCAGCTTATGAGAGTGCTGTAAAAATTGATGACTTCGACCAGAAATACACTGCTTTCACCGGTATACAGGAGACATTTTCGCCGGCGCTGTGGCAGCTGATCGACGCGGAACCGGAGGAGGAAGCGGTGCTGAATGTGCAGCTGAAGTTCTTTAAGGAGTTTTTGCTCTATCTGCAGAAGCAGGTAGATGCTGCGTCTTTCGCCGGAATGATAAAAGATACATTAAAAGTAGTGGAGTCGGCGCTGACAAGTGCGGATCTCAAGCAAAAGATGGATGTGCTAGACAGTTTTGATGATTTGACGACAAAATTCCGGCGGTATTTGGATTATAAGGTGCTGGAATTTCAGTTTGATCGATTTGGACAGTGAAGGTGTGGTTTAGTGATTTTGTGTTCAGTGTGTTGAAAATATTCGAAAATATTGTTTTAAAATCTGTGGGCATTTGTTTGGAGTAATTAAATTAATTAAACAAAAAAT